TTGTAATTTAGAGGGCTGGGGGGGGGAGATGACTGTTTATCATACACATTGTATGTCTGAAATAATGTTCTTAATTATCCATTTTCTTTAATCTGTCTCTGTTGCTGCTGCAGTTTGGAAATATAACTGACAGGTTATCGTTTTGGCGCTTTCATTAATTCAGGATTGAATCTAAAAACCTTGTCAGTATATGCTGCACTTAAAAAAAACCAGAAATAATATTCTCTTGGCCCTGGGATAGAACTGCAAACCTCCCTGTACATATAGTCCTCACCTTACAACAGTTCACCTAGTGACCATTCAGAGTTACAACAGTACTGAAAAAAGTGACTTATGACTATTTTTCACATTTATGACTGTTGCAGCATCCCCATGGTCACTTGATTGACTTTCGGATGCTTGACAACTGACTCACATTTATGACGGTTGCAGTGTCTCGGGGTCCTGTGGAGACCTTTTGCGACCAGCCAAGCCAAGTCAATGGGGAAACCAGATTCATTTAACAACCGTGTTACTAATTTAACAACTGCAGTGATTCACTTAACAAATGTGGCAAGCAAAATCGTAAAAATCTCTGGGCAAAAACTCACTTAACAAATTTCTCACTTAGCAACATAAATTTTGGACTCAATTGTGGTCATAAACTGAGGACTACCTGTATTGCTGAACCATAGTTTCTGGCTTCCCTGACTATTGGAGCTGCTGGTTGGGGCTGCCGGGAAGGGAAAGGAGAGCAATTGGTAGTTTTGTTTCACTCCCTAATTAGTATTCTGAATGTCAAGATATATGGGGAAGAAAATGTAGGACTGTGGCCGAAGAATTTAATGGTATAATCCCATCTGTCTACTAAACAGTAGCTCCTATTAGAATACACTGGGTAGACAAATGGCTACTGCAATTTGCTTGATATGGGACTGTTCAAATGGCAGGGGCTTGTTTGTTGATTTGTATGACCCTATTCAGAAGACTAACTCCTGTCCTTCAAGATCTGCCCTGGTTTTCAATAGGCTTCTGGACCCAATTCAAGGTGTCAGCGATTATGGGTGGTCCTCGACATAACAGTTTGTTTAGTGAACTTTCAAAGTTTTTGTGGCATTGAAAAAAGTGACGACTGTTTTTCGCATTTATGACCTTTACAGCATCCCCCTATGATCATGTGATCAACATTTAGATGCTTGGCGACTGGTTCATATTTATGACTGTTGTTGTGTCACAGCATCCCCCTATGATCATGTGATCAACATTTAGATGCTTGGCGACTGGTTCATATTTATGACTGTTGTTGTGTCCCAAAATCATCAACCTCATCAGAAGGTTGACGACCTTCTGATGAGGAAAGTCAATAGGGAAGCCAGAATCATTTAACAATCGAGTTACTAACCTATCAACTCCAATGACTCACTTAAAAACTGAAGCAAGAAAGATCGTAAAATGGGGCAAAATTCAGTTAAATATTCTCATTTAACAACAGAAATGTTGGGCTCAATTGTCATAAGTTGAGAACTACCTGTAGTTACTTTATAAAGCTCTTTCCCACCATGGCCCTTTCTCCTTGCTGGGTGGACTGTCTTCTTCAGGTAAAGTCTTCCTGACTTACTGAATCCAATAGGGAGAGGAAGTTTACCTTGAAAGAAATGGGGACAGAGGAGGGGTAGGGGGCTGGGAAATAGGGAATGACTTTCTCTGTAGCATAGTCCCCTGTCTCTGGAACAACTACTCCCCCCCCTCCCCCGTTCTCCCTGTAAGATTAGAGGTTACCTACTTTGATGGTGTTTGGAAGATGATGAAAACACTTTTATAGAGCATTTGGGCTCATTTTGGTTTGTTTATAATTATTAGTATTTTTCATTTTTTATTGGACATATGAATGGATTTTATTATTTTATTGATGTTTAATCTCCTATGTTGTAAACCAGGTAGAAGTGGAAGAATTAGTGGCTATATATTTTGGTAAATAAATGAACTAAATAAATATAGGATCATAAACTAAATTAATATTTCAGTTTAAGTGGTAATCAACAAGTCTGAATCATAGCAGCCAACTCTATTGGTGATAAGAAGATTAACCATCAAATCTGAGTGAAGTTGCTTATTAGTGCATGACAAATTTTGCATTAGTTTTTGTTTATTTATAAATCAAATTTATAGGCTGCTCAACTCACAGCGACTCTTATGTGATTTGAAGAGCCCAGCAGTGACTACAAAATGCAGTTTATTTTGATAGGTTTCCAGTATTCCAGACCAAGAAAAGCCTATGGCAAGTACAGAATCAGCATAACTATTTTTATCTAATAAATATTTATATCAGTTGGAAGGAATGTGAGCATCTTTAGTGAGATGGCTGAATTTCATAACCTGAGCGGTGGTTGTAACTCATCATACCCAAATCAGTATGAATGACATTATGGCTTGCTTTCAGCTTATTATCAGGGGGAACTTTAAATTCTTTACAAGAGTTGACTCTAAGGCAGAGATTTCCCCCCCCCCCCATACATCACAACAATTCTGACTTACACCATGAAGAAAATCCTAATAATCTCTTAAGAACATCAGTGAAGCTATGAGATGGGATGGATAAAGGGTGACTCATATTCAGAAGCCTTCTGTTCTAAGGCTTGTATCCATAATCTATTTTTACAGAACAGAACCAGCAGCATGCCATCAGTATCTTTCCTGCTAGGAAAGTATTGCTGTCAAGTATCCATATCAGTAGATATAATCACTAAAATGTACCAGACATCATATCTCATCATTTCTATGCCAAGAGAGTAAATAGAACCATAAACATAACCAAATCATTATAGCTGTGACACCTTCTCTGGTATGCATAATAAGCAGGTAATCTTCAGTGATCATATTTGTTTACCTTGTTGATGCATCTTAAAATGCTTGGTATCTCTCTCCAGTTTAGGTGTTGGGTTTTTAAAAAAAACTTTTTCCATTAAGAATTACTGGTAAATATCAGCGAATGAGAAGTGTTGACATGTGATGAAAGGAATAAGATATCTGTAACACCATCAAACATCAGCCTCTGCCTATCCTGCATCCTTGGGAAGGCCACAATAGGTGGACAAAAATGACAGTCTGGCTGACTGTGTGATGAAAAAAAAACGATACCGTCTTTCTCCTGACCCTTTGCTGCCTGTGGAGTTGGGTGCATATGTGGTGGGAGGGGGGAGGGGCTGTCTTAAAAGCGTGAGCCCCTGTATTAGCTGAGGCAGCAACTGGATGCCTACACGTGAGAGCTGCAGTGGCTTTTATTTTTCTCACAGAGCAGTGAGAAAACATGTAGCCGATCAAAGATCACTAAAAAGCCGCTGTCGTTTTGGTGACATTGAAAAAGGTGAAACCTTGTTTGACAGAGCTTTCGTTTTAGATGCTGATGGATCCGGTGGAGGAAGGATACTGGTCAAACTAAACTCAAGTATTGACCTAGAGTGTGCAATTTTGGAAAACCACACCATTAAATATCAGCATCACCCTGTACCTCCCTTTTTTTTTCACCTTCATAGAAGGATGCTGCCATGCTGTGGTACCTATGGAGCTCTCTATCTGATCCACTTGTTTTGTATTCAAAGCCTTCTCTAGTGTCCTGTTCTGAGGAAAACAGGTAGTCCTTGACTTACAACAGTTCACTTACTGTTCAAAGTTAGAACGGCACTGAAAAAAACCTAATACCATTGTTCACACTTATGACCATTGCAGCAGTCCCATGGTCGCGTCATCAAAATTCAGATGCTTGGCAACTGGTTTATATTTATGATGGTTGCAGTGTCCCGAGATCACGTCATCCCTTTTTGCAACAAGCAAAGTCAGCGAGGAAGCCAAGTTTACTTAACGACTGTGTTAATTACTTAACAACTCCAATGATTCACTTAACAACCGTGGCAAGAAAAGTCGTAAAATGGAACAAAAATCATCATAAATATAAA